AGTGGATTGAGAGGGCACTTGGCCAGACCTTCGAGTCCAGCTAGATTCCTCTCAATCCAACCATCAGCAACATCATGACCTTGACCCCATACTCGAGTATTATGATTGATCGTTCAAGCCTGTTCCAACAAACATCGAATATAATAATACCTTAAAATATATCTTTAAATAGTTCGTATATTGAAGTAAAAAATAATAACCCTACCGCTTTATTACTAAGTTAAATAAACGCGTTATAACTATATTTAAATACCAGTTTATTCGCGTAAAGTAACTATAGAATAACAACATAAGTAAACTATATATATTTAAAGCTTCTACTTTTCAAATTTTTATGTAGTAATTTCTTTAATTTCAATTTAAAGCAGGCGGTTATAAATAACGGTAACGTATATTAAACGCGTTACGTGTTACTTATAATTATTAATAGTAAATTAAAAACTAATTAGTCAACTAAATAATCCTTGAATACGCGTTACTTTATAAAAATAACAGCTATTTAAAAAATAACATTTACCAGTAATATATACGATATAAACTTCGAAAAACGGTATCAACGACTTATATATTTAAAAGAAATATGAGAATTTACTATGAAGCCTATAAAATACTATAAATCCCTTTATTCAAAAGGAAACGTTACGTTTAAAAAATATAAGAAATCCTCCGGTTATAACGTGTGACGAGCCGTCTAACCTATAAGGCTAAAGGGTTCTATAGGGTTTATGTTCTGAGGTAAGTCAACACAAAGGACAATAGAGGCTTCTGTCAACTAGAAGACACTCAGATGCTGGGGCTTGGTCTGAACTGGGTTCACTGCGTAGTCGAGTCGCCAGGAGATTTCTCCCACCTTAGGGTTGGCTAAGATGCTTAGATTGATCACTGAGGTAGAGACTGTCTATCTATCTGGCTAGGAAATATCTGTCCTTATATATCCAATCTCTCCCTCACTGATTAGGTGGCTCACCCTGGATCACTATAGTGATCCAGTGATTCAAATTCTTAGTCACGTGACCCAGGCTCTGCTGGTCGCGTGATCTGTGTACCGTTGCTCCGTTGCTCCGATCTCTCCCACTGATCAGCACCCCACTCACTCTCTGGTCAATCTGTTTCCAATCGTCCCTTCTAGGTCTGCTATCAGGCCGCACTGTTCGTTGATTGATTGATTGATTGTATTTAACGTGGGGGATCGCTCCTCAGTAGTGCAGATCACGCCTCCCAGAGCCTCTGCATCGCAGGGTTGTGGAGGTATCAAGATAATAAGTACAGTCAGTCCCGCTCACGAGTCCATCCCTGTTGTTGCGGCTGTATAACTTTGGGGTCATCCATCTGGTCCTTCAAGAACAGCTATCTATCGGGGGCAGATTGATGAAAAGAACTTGCTCTTCTCAACAAATCTTGTCCATTCTGTGCTCCTCTCCCCCAAGTATTGTAAACAGCTCGGTGCTTGTGATTGCCTGATGGCCCACGTACATTCGGTCACTTGTGAATGACAGCCGGTTCTCGGCCGTCGATCTGAAAAAAGAACTTGTCATTTGGCAAGAAATCGCCCTCTGAAAGCTCGCTGCTTACATGCAGCTGATACATTCCCATCTCGGACTGGCTCGTGTCTCAGCTCGGGTTGTCCGAGAAAGTGACTGTCCACCTATGGCATGCGCCAACATTGTGACTGTCTCTTTTACTGACTTGTCAAGTCTTAGGGTGACTCCTTCAATCCTCATCCATCCGTGATCATCCAGCTGCGTCTGATGGAAAGCCGGGATTGCGGTGTCGTGGATCTCACCAGATAGTAGCTTTCCAATCGCCAGGACTTCAATGAAGATGTCGCTTTCTTCTTGGTTCATATTGAACACGATTGACTCTTCTTCGTGACCGGATGTCATTTCGTTGTTATTAACGATGATAAAAATCGTGGATGACTTGGAGGCGTTACGATCCTGTAGGGAAGATACTAAGAAAACTGGGTAAACGTTGTCCGAATTCGTAAGAGGATCAAAAGGCTGCTGGAAGAAGAGTCTATATACTGCTAATGAAGGTGGTCGCGTGGCGTGAACAGTTGCGGCCCCTCTGACTGTCTTGACGCAACATCAGCCAACCATCCGCGTGATAAGCCTCCCGCATCCAATTATGTCTTCCTGTGGAAATTAGGAATGGTCCGTATTGAAAGAGGAACAAGGGTAGCTGATGGGGGTACCTTCCTACTTAAATAGGTGGGAAACTGACCTCTGACGGCTATCAAATGTGATCCCACAGGATGACACATATGCTGCTCACAGCAATCACATCAAGGCTAAATACGCCACTGTCATAATATCTGACACTTCCAATGGTGAACTCGCACTGAGGGCCGTCGCCGTTCAGGGGTCGTAATAATTCCGCCTTAGATCATTGAATGCGGGCAACGTTACGCATTTCGGGAACCTCTTCCGAAACACTTCGAAGCTGGAATGGTTCGCTGGGCTGCCGTATGTCTCCCCGCTTACGCAGCCGTCGAAACATATATTTCACGCGCAAATGGTCACACAAGATGTGGCAGAAGTCCGCGGCATCAAACACTCCTGTCTCCCCAAACCAGGACTCCTCTTTCGCATTCATGACCCCGGAGGGCTCGTCGGCGCACAACTAAACTGACGAAAGAAAAAATAAGAAGAAAAAACGAAGGAAAAAAGAGCCAAACCCGGGAACCCCCAAACAGACCAAAAAGCATCTCATCCTCGTTGTCGGCCGGCACGATATGAATCTTGAGGCCGCTCCCACTTCCAGTACCGTTCATAGGGTCATCAGCTTCCATGGAGATACCGTCAAGCGCCAGCGCGACTGTGGCTTCTGATGCATGTCTGAACTCCAGGAGGGCGAAAAGCTGGTCGTCGGTCGTCGTCGTCGGCCTTGGCCTTGTCCTTGTCTTCTACTTCTTCGTCCTCGTCGTCGTCTGCTGGCCATATGTTAGCTCAATATCATGGAAAAGGATGATCTCTCCTGTTCGGCCCTCGTCCATACCTTTTCGGCACTTAGGCCTCGCCACGGGCCCGAGCAGCCACCAGAGCAGCGAACTGATGGTGGCGGGCGTGGCGGCAGGCGCTGCTCTTCCCGAAGGCTTTGCCACAAGCTGCAACGGCACCAACACCCGGCCACGGGCACACGAACAGATCATCGTCGTTGCTCACAACAGCCCCCATATGGTGGCCCTTGAAGTGGCCGACCAACTGTGCCTCAGTCCCGAAGGACAGCCCACAGCCTCTCCAATAGCACTTGGTGCCCAAATGGTCGAACATTATGTGCTCTTTCATCTGCGGCACTGCGGGTCTGACCTCCGTGCAGCCCTGTTCCGGGCACAGGACACGACCACGGACCATGAGACCAGTCTTGGCCTTGGCGAGGGCGGCGGCGCCGGCTGCGGCAGGGATTGCGGACGGGTCGTTGACGAGAGCAAGAGGAGGAACAGCGGCGTTGCCAGCCGCACCGGGGACTGCATCGTCGGCGGCGTCGGCGGCGAGGCCGGCGCGACGGGAGAGGCGAGCGGTGGCGGCGGCACGATCAGCGGCGGCGAGATCGTCGTTGGTGATTACTTTATTACTGTTAGTATTTGATGTTGCACTTCGCCATTGGATATCAGGATAGGGCTTGTGGTAGAGAGATCCATCTGAGATCTACAACCAAGCTGCCCCTTTACGATCTGAGTTAGAAGTTGGTCTGCTACTTACGATGGAGATGGCTGATGGCTGCAGCCGCCTCTGCTCTGGTGAGGTGAACCCGGCTCACCAGTGCCTTCATGAGGGCATCGTGGGCCTCGCTGGACAGAGGGACAGAGGACATGGTGTCGGTGCGGGGGTTGGTGAAGATGTCGTTGAGGATGAGGGTGGTGCTGTCGGTGTCGATGGTGATGATCTTGTCGAGGAAAAAACATGGGAAACAGCAAGTTGTTCGGTAGTATAGGGCTGCGAAGCTGGAAAGACAAGACCCCAGGACAGGCAAGCGGAGAAGCAATCTTATAAACTACACTAAGCGGGGCGGACGCGCAGACAGGATCTCCAGCCATGTCGGCGATTCTATCTGTTCGTGTTATTTCATCTATATATGTGCAACCCGCCTTGCACGGTACGTCATTCACGGTACCTCTGTGAGGGCCCTGAGGATTTCAAAACCGGGTGCAAGCATTAACAGTGAGGAAAAAGCTGGTACTGTTCGTCTGGTGTTGCTAATACTATTCACTATCGACCCGACGACCCCTTTTGCTAATACAGGGACTTACTTATATAGTCGAAGTCGGCCCAGGCAAAATACAGTCAACAAAAGCTGGAGTATGAGACAACAAGCGCATGGGTTCGTTATGGCACGTCAGTTTATCAAACTCACGAGTCTATCCGTCTCAATTTGAGGGCGCCTTCGAACGCCATACACAAAGAAAACCCGTCAACAGGCTGCGGAAGACGACAAAGGATGTATCCCAAGCTTGTAGGCTTGTGAATACTTTACTATTTAGCTCACTTGAATAGTCGTGATCTAAAGCATTATTATGTCTGCAGTATGACGCAGCCGTTCAGCCATCGTCTTCTCGTAACTAATACGTATAGGAACTGACGAGATGCGTTAGCTTCTCTGCGTTCTCACAGCTTGATGCGTTTATATAATAGACACTACCGTCGTCATACGTGACATCGACCTAGCTGTAGCTTCAACGTGAATCTACTGGCCTGGGGATATCGTGAACAGCAAAGAGTATATCGAGAATATCCAGCTTTAATTCAGCAAGAAGAAAGCCACAAGCCGTCCTGTCTGAAGCCATCGCCGTCCTGGCCCAGCCGCCCACCGCTATGTGTCCCCGCTTGTGCAAATTTGTCCCTCTTTCTTTCCCACTGGGTGAGAGCTGAGGGAAGATTTCTGTTCTTTGGCCAAGGCATCGACAAAAGCATCAACAGCAAGCTCGACAGCACACCGCACACCGCACCCATCACTATCCCATACTCACACCACCATACCTCCATACCACGACTGCCATCACGATGGCCCCCTGCGACCCCGACCTCGTCGATCTGGCTTCAGCCTATGGTGTTTGCACCAACCCCGGCGCGCTGCTGCCCGCCGACCGCAAGTACGACTGCCTGCTGTCCTTCCGGTACCAAGGTGGCACCGACAAGGGCCTGGTGGAGCATGTGGTCAACATGCACCCGGGAGGAAACTGCTTTTTTCCCGGCTGCGGCGCGGGAGAAGGCCCGGGCCCGGGACACTTAGCCGTTGGGGGTCTTCGGGACCACCTCCGCCACCAGCACCCGGTAATCCTGGTGCAGGTGCAGGTGCTGGAGCCGCAGGAGCCGCAGCCGCAGCCGCAGCAGCAGGGCCAGCAACAGCAAATGGTCCTCGTCACGAAGACGAATCACGTGTGCTGCTGGCCCGGCTGCCAGAAGGACCCGCTCGAGGGCTCCGGCGCCGACCGTTGTGTTCGCTGGCACAACTACACGGAGCTGGCCCAGGGCTTGGCCGGAGGTTTTTAGGCAGTGTAAGTGTATCCGTGGTGTTGGCTCTTATAACACCAGGCTAACAGATGACAATAGGATCATACAAGATGATCACTTGGCTGCTGCTTGGGTCCCCTTCGCCGGGGCACCCTGAAGGTCTGGTGGGCCGTGGCAGCACCACCCCTTGGTCGTTCGTCTGGCTTGTTTCGGTTCCGTTGGGGTTCGCTCAGTTTTGTTAAGCTCGGAAAGGGGTTGGAAGCATTGCCCTTGGGGCTTGCCGCGAATACAAGAAGTTCTGGGTCGACACAAGCCGAGTCTGCAACATGCGATGTGAATCTGTCTGTGACTATGTCTGTGGTGACTGCAACGCTTGAAATAATCCTGCAACACGATACTGATATTTGGTATAAGCGCTGGCATAATCAGGATTACAGGATAAGTTAACCGCCTGGTGTAGTGCTCAAACCAGTCCGATTATTCCACCTTGTGATGCCAACAAGCTGGGGACGGAAGGAGCAGGAGAATGAGATGGCTGATGATTGGTACGTAAAGCAGGGAGACTTCGAAGATCGATGCTGATGTTTAGGTCTCCCATTCGCACTTGCGCCACGCATGCACTTCTCGAGATATCCAGTTGCCCAACTCTACCTTAGTATTTCGCAGAAGACTAGGCAACAATGTACTCAGTCGTCGATTTGCCTCGTTCAGCCAGAAACTTTACCGAGCTGGACATTTCCCCTTGATAACGGTCTCAGACTTGGTCCTGGCCAACGAGGAAGGCGAAGCCCTCGAGTCCACCGACAAGATCATCAACACCGCCGGCTTCATGATCAACTCGGCCCTCCATATTGTTGACCCCTGACGATACAGACATGTGCTAGTTTCACGAGGACTTGCCGGTCTATGCCAGATGCGGCGGAGTAGCGATTGCGGAAGAAGAGCAAGAAGCGATCACCAAGGCACTGGGTCCGTGTCCAGGCGTACGGAGAAAGCGTTGGGGAGGATGCGGGTTACTACATCGCGTTGAAGAGAGTATGCCACACTCAGCTTCTGACTGAAGCCGCGGCGGCAGTTGGGATTGCCAATAAGCCCATCGATCCCGAGCAGGCGGGCTATACCAGGCAGATGAGCACGCCCGGGTTCATGCACATGCAGTTCGTCTCTGGGTATGACTTGGCCCTCAAGGAGAGCAACGAGGAATCCATGAAATGATCAGGTGTGATCCATATTGGTTAGAAGTTGATCAATAGAAGTTACGACCCGTGGTGCTTGCGTGTTGGCCAAGACCTGTCACCTTTGCGTCCGTCGCCGTCTCCGCATAAGGTAGTACCGCGATCTTCAACGTCATACTGACAACACCAGCTGAGGCGAAAAGACGTCTACATTAATACCACGTTCACATATTCGAACTTTTCATCGGAAACTCACGATTGTGCTCATTCACCCGGCAGTTCGTCCCAACCTCTAGTACAACTCATCGAACAAATACACCACTGGTCGTGAAGATAGTGACATCGATCGTAACCGGCGCTACCGGTAAGCATATCGTTCATACTATTGATCTCCGGAGCTATGAATACTTGGGCATCAATGCAAGGTTGCTCTCACTGATCGATTAATCATGACAGCATCACGGGAACGGCAACCGTCAACGCCCTCGCCAACCGACCAGAGTACACAGAGATATACACGCTCTCACGCTCGCAGAAATCCGAGCACAGCTCCAAAGTCAAGCACGCAACACTAGACCTGCAGTCCTCAGCAGACTCGATGGCGCAACCCCTATCGCACATCCCGCCCGCGACGCACATCTACTTCTGCGCGTACCTAGCAGACCTCGACGAGGCCGAGGCGACGCGCATCAACAGCGCCATGCTGACCAACTTCCTCGCCGCGCTGCAGTCGTTCGTCCTGACGTGCGGACTCAAGCAGTACGGCGTGCACCTGGGCCAGCCCAAGAACCCGATGCGCGAGGACGACGACCCGGCGCTGTTCTGGCTGGAGCAGGGGGACCGCCCGCCCAACTTCTACTACGCGCAGCAGCGCATCCTCGAGAAGGCCGCTGCGGAGGCGGGCGGTAAGTGGTCGTGAACCGTCACCTATCCGCTGGACGTCATCGGGTTCGCCAAGGCGAACTTCATGAACCTGGCGACTGCGCTGGGACTGTACTGCGCGGTCAGCAAGGAGGTGGAGGGGTCGAAGCTCGTGTTCCCAGAAAACAAGACTAACTACCTCGCATTTAACACTTGGACGTCTTCGAAGGTCCATGCGGAGTTCTGTCTCTGGGCGGGCAAGGCTCCGAACGCGAAGAATCAGCGCTTCAACGTCGTCAACGGCGACACCCAGAGCTGGCAGGACCTCTGGCCCCGCATGGCTGCGCGGTTCGGGTGCAACGTCCCCGAGAAGATGTTCCCAACCGGGGATGCAGAGAAAAAGGCCTACCCCGGCTACAGCACCGCAACGAAGCTGCATCCGCGACCGCTGGTCAAGGAAGTCGAGACCAAAATGGGCCTCAAGGATGAGTTCAAGCCAGGTGAGCTCTTCTGACCTCCAGAAATGGGCCAATCGACCGGAAGTGGTCAAGGCGTGGGAAAGCCTCGCGATAGGCACGGCCTGGACGAGGGTGCATGGGACCATGCCACTTGGGGCTTCTTGACCTTCTTGCTTGGGAGGGAGTACAGCTGTGACGCCAGCATGGGCAAGGCGCGGAAGATAGGCTGGACGGGGTATGCTGATACGTGGGAGGAGTTCCAGAGGACGTTCAAGGAGCTGGAGGCTGCGAAGATGCTGCCTCCTGTTGCTGAGTTGAAGGGCAACCATCCGTGAAAGCTTGAGGCTGGGCAATGTGTATATCATGGCCGGGGTGTTATCCGTATGATGATTTAGGTTTGAACGCGTACCTTCACTACCTTCCAGTGGAGTCCACTCCATTCGTGGATCTGGTCTCGGGTATCGAATTCAGACTATTTTGGGCCCGTCTCTACGGGATTGATCTGCTTCGAAATCTACAGTGCCGTGAACAAACAGAACAAGAGATACAGGTTTGAAGGTCGGTACATACAATGATGCATCGGTCGTGAAGGTTTAAGTTTTTTGTTTTGTTAAATATGTTCTTAGATATCACTAACATCGATTTCGCAGTACCCAAGTATGTCACAACTGCTACAACGCCACGGCAGACCTGAGGCACAGATTGTTAGATGGATGCAGCACTCGTTTTCAGGGTAGCTACTGCTTTCGTCTAATAGAAGGAATGGAGTGAATAAAGGATCACGGATCCGTACAGGGTAGCCGTGCTGGTTCTATAATTCTTTATTATCTAACTAACGGTTTTATAACTCTAAGCCCTGCTTTTATAACTATTAAGCATATACGATAATAAAAGAAAATTCAACATGTATTCAGCCGCAACAACCACCCTAATACGATTTTATTTAAATTTAGTACGCTGAATACAATACTGAAGATTCATCCCTCAAAACGACGAGTGTACCAACCTCTGAAGCCCCTATTGCTCCAGCTATCACAGCACCAGTACACCCCTTATTACAGCCCCTATCCATCCTTGTGACCACTTCAGCCTCCGCTATTACTAGCCACTGTACCAGTACCCGTTTTCACACAGATCCGAACGAGTCAAGTGTAAACCATGCGAGTACGTCTTCCTGGTCAATTAACACTCTTAAGAGACCATGTCCTTTCCAACGACAAATGGTGTGTCCAGCTCATCATCACTACCATCATCACATCCTCATGAGTCTCATGGCTAGACAACCCCTTGCCCGGAATCACCTTTCTCTCCTCCATCGGATGGCAAGCGATATTCAAATCGTACTTCAAGAAATGGCGGCCGCATCGCTCAGCTAGAATGGTATCAATCGGTGATCGTCGGCGTTCATATTATCTCGGATGAGCCGAAGCTGGGCTGCTCCACGAAAGGGGTCTAGAAGTCGCCTCTGGTTCGTGGACGAGATCCTCTCATTCATATGTTAGCGGTCGACGAAGTCTCCAGTGAAGTTGGACTAAGCACTAAATCCCAGCCGGTCGATGCGTAAGGTCAACTTCAAATATTGCGACAGGAGCGGTGGTGAGCCCGGAATTGACGATTAAAGCCTTAAACAGGAGGTAAGCTGCAGCGGCGCTGAGCTTTGGTCATCACGATGCTCCAGTCAACAAACCCATCATTGACTTGACAGGCTTGACTGGCCACCATTTGGCGCTCCTCGCGGCGGCCAGAGTTTTCTACGCAGGGGTGCCCGTGTAGGATAAGTACTGTGCCTTAAATCAGGGAAGCAGCTGTACAGGAACTCCCGGATCGTCGAATCCACTTTCAAAGGACTTCTCAAAACATCGCCTCCCTCGATCTTCAGACCGCGTAAAGACGTCTGCCCTTCCGTAAATACCCGGTCGAGATTGACGATGAGGCGATCAAGCGACAGACTCTGGCTCTTGTGGATTGTCATGGCCCATCCTGGTGCTAGTGGGATTTGTGTTCGCACTGCGACATCTTGAGTTAGTAGTTACCTTCAGGACATGTTGACGGATACTCGGGATTTTCGGGTCGCGTCTCAGAAGTGCAAACCTCCGCCGGCAAAGAGCAAGGTCCCCGACAGGTGAAGAAGGATTTAAGACAGAACTCGAGATGTTACATACTGAGCAGGCTGTATGGCGCTTTGCCTCCAAGCTCGGAGATGGAGCAGTTGGCAATGATGGTTCGGATCTGACCATTGTGGAATTGCACCACAGGCCATTTCTTCTCTCCGGTGTAAAGGGTCTCTCTGAAGTCTTTGACCTGCTGCCATCTCCACAGCGCACGGACATATCCTTCTTCATCGCCTTCGTAGTTCTGGGGATTTGGTTCAGGCGGCGTATCGCTGGGATCCAACGGCCGAGAATCGCATATGACCCCCTGGCTCCTGTTGCAGAGACCGCCATCGATATCGAGATTTATGAGCAGGACGACAGGCATGTTGATCTTGAGTTCGACGGACTGGTAGAAACGATGCTCATTCAAAGCACGCAAAGGATTTCCAAAGGGATGACCAGATCCATCCGGATTGCGTCTGCCTTTGTCGGAGAGATCAGGGTCATTGCATTCGAACTTGTCAAGACAGAAGTACGTGTACGTCTTGTCCGTGTCCGGTAGCTTGTTGAACTCCTCTCTATTGCACCTGGCGACGTCATCTTTCCTTCAAAATAACCGTGTTCCATGCTTAACGTCGCATTCGTGGTTCAACAGGAGTTTAAGGTCATGATCCTTCAGCTGTCCAGCGAGCCGAACCAGTTGGAGGATGCCAATGAATCGCTCGTCACTCTGGCGGTGAATCTGGTACAAGTGGATGCATTGGAAATCGCACATCTTCCACGCGTCGCTTCTGAAAGCCCATTTATCCTCTTCTTGAAACTCGCGGTGCATCTGAGTTGGGCAGAAATACTTGTTGTATTTGAAGCGCCTCATTTTTTCTCCACATTCAGTACAGTACTCGAAAGGCTTCACCGGGGGCAGCTGGCAGAAGTCGCCAGCGACGATGACTTGAACACCCCCAAAGGGACCCCCAGTCTCGCGTTGGTCGTCCCTGTGCCGGATAGCACTCATGACTCTACTCAGGCGATCGAAATGTTGGTTCTCGACCATACTAATTTCGTCAATGATGAGAACGTCAGTATGATTCAACCGTCGAAAGACCTGTCTGCGGAAGGATTTCTCAATCAGCTGCTCTATAGGCTTCATCATGTCATCTGGGTGCCAGTCAGCGTAGCTCCAGGTCGTCATGCCGTTCACTTGCAAGGCAGCCTGTCCAGTCGGTGCGACGATATATATCATCTTGCCCTTGGCTTTCAACCGACGACATAAAGTTCGTACAAGGACGGATTTTCCACAACCTCCAGAGCCAGTGAGGAAGACATTGTGTCCCTCGAGTGCGAGATCAACGACCTTTTGCTTTTCCTTGCAGAGGGGCGGTTCCCTCGGGTCCGATATGGGCTGGCTGGCGCTCGGCCGTGATAGGGACGGTGGTGGTGTTTGCAACTGGGTTTGGATTGAGTGCCACTTCTCCTGCGACGGAACGTCTGGGGACGACGATGGTGCCACGAACTGGCCGTCTGGCGATATGCGCCCAGTGTGCGAAGAGCCTGGTGTGGAGGGATGCTGTCTTTGCCTTCGAGAAACCGGCCCCCCCTCCTCCTCCTGCTCTGGGCTGAGCATACCGATGCTTGCGATGACCACATCGTTGCTGCGTGCTTCATGCTTCCTTCTCTTCGGCTCCGGCGTGGCAACATGGTCGGCGTTATCGTGCTCTTGAGAGGACTCGCAAATAGGGCGCTTGGGTGGTTGCACATCAGCACTGGAGCTGGCTGACACTAGTTCCGACATCATTGGAGCGAAACAGGCCGGACTGACTCGAGATCTCAATCAGATTTCTGCACTTTGGCGGTGGCGATTTCGACGGGAACACGTCGGGTTTCAAGCCGGCCAATAACGTCACGCAATAGGTGGGTGGGACCGACATCTGGAGATCGCGTCTAAGGTTCTCTTCGAACAAGAAAGCCGATGCAGGTCACTGTTGTAACCCCAGGGTTTCGGTTGCATCCTGAGAGTAGCCTTTGCCGTTATTCGATGACCGTCAAGTCTCCAACTATAATGCAGAACCTTTCAGAGTTCAGCCTACCTACCCCTACTCTCAGACTACGGCGAAACTCAATGTGTAACGCCATCGCCATCCACTTTGTGACCGCACATGCAACTTTAAGAGCCGCTCTCAAAAGCTGTAGAAGCTTAATTCGGACGGATGCCAACTCACCTGGTCATCAGGTCAGCCCAGACTCACACACTTCACAGTTGGAGGGTCCAGGGATTGCAAACCGGTCACCAAAGCATACGACAACAACATCCTAGTTTAGGAATCGGTAGTGACTGTATGGAGAGGCCAGTTTCGCATACTCATTCGAGCCGTGCTTGTATTTACACGTAAAGATTCTGATGATGCATTAGGTACCTACGGCGCTGACTTCAAAATTAGGAGAATGGGATTAGGGGCCAAGTTGCCCAGAGCTTGGACCATCCCATGGCGGGGTCAATTTTGACTGTATGCGGATCCACTTTCCCCCGCATTCCGCTAGTGCGACGCAAGGCTCAGGCCACAATGCGACACTGGCAGCCTGGGAACTTGTGTTGTCCTGCCTGCGTGCCTCTCGAACCACACGAATTCACCCGTCGACTTCCAATCCCAACATCCGCCGTCGTGTGCCATACCATCTGCAGTGACCCATGCCAGTAAAGGCAGCAGGATGCACTCCCGTCTTGGCTGCTTGGCCGGCTATAGTTACAGCCGCCTCCAACGGCCGCAGAATGGAACTGTACACCCCGGCCTGATTGGTGCCTCTGCTCGATGCGAAATCCCAACTCGGCTCCTCCAACCTACTACCTGGTCTGGTCTCCCTGGAGTGCTTGAATCCACCGGCAAGGACCGGGACCCGGCTGATCTGGGGAAGCGGGGGAATAGCCAGGAAACAAACATCCGTCAAGGGTTAAGGGGCCACGGGACGATAGACCCTGTCCAATGTCGACCGTGTCATTCCTGTGATCTGCCGCTGCCTGCCTTATTCGGCCGCGTGCTTGAGCAACTCCTCATTCTTGGAGCAAGCAACCGAGTGAACGTTATGTTGTTCAGCTCTTCGCGTGTCACTAGTCACCCTTAGTCCATTTCATCCACCCAAGTACTCTTTTTCGGTCCTTGGTGATGATTCTTGCTTCCGGGGCTTGATAGAATCTATCGCGAATGACAGATTATAGTTAAGTCTTGGACTGGATGGCTGAAACCTCCCCGACCCTGCCAGCATGATGTTCGTTGTCCACTGCCGCCCGATGGCGGTCGCTAACTATGCTACCCTTCGGGCGGCTGAACGCCTCGCCTCTCGGGTCGCGTCACGTCTTTTAGGTTTGTAAAAGCCTCTTCACTGATCTTGTCCTTCGCGCCGCGTGGTAATCCGTGCTAAAGAAACTCCGTCTATAGACTTGACGCCTCAAGCTTCAAGCACTGCTGTGTACTGCCGCCGGCAATGGAAAAGCACCCGAGCGAAGCAGCCCATCATCCTATCAGCTGTTCCCAAACAGCCCTTCATCGCCGGTCAAAACGTTACTGGGAGGGTCATCCAAGCAACTGCGTACTCGACTGTCGTTGATCTGCCTTCCGTCCCTTATGCTGACCTCACCGTTGGAGTGCCACGGGAGACCTACACCAATGAGCGACGCGTCGCTATCTCCCCTCAGAATGTCGCTCTGCTAAAGAAGAAAGGCTTTGGCAAAGTTATCGTTGAACGAGGCGCTGGAGTCCAGGCCGACTTCCTCGATGAGGCTTACGAGAAATCCGGCGCGACTTTGGTCGACGCTGGAGGTGTGTGGAGCGTAGCCGATATCGTGCTCAAAGTCCGAGGACCAAACTTCACTGAGATTGATCGTCTAAAGGAGGGCGCGACTATCATTTCTATGCTCCAACCCGCGCAGAACAAGGATCTCGTTGATCGCCTCGCCTCACGCAACGTCACTTCCTTCGCTATGGATATGGTACCACGTATATCTCGCGCCCAGGTCTTCGACGCACTGAGTTCCATGGCGAATATTGCAGGGTACAAAGCTGTGCTAGAGGCTTCGAACAACTTCGGCCGGTTTCTGACAGGCCAGGTCACCGCGGCCGGGAAAATCCCGCCATGCAAGGTTCTTGTCATTGGTGCTGGTGTTGCCGGTCTCAGCGCCATTGCTACGGCGAGACGCATGGGTGCCATTGTTCGTGGCTTCGACACTCGATCGGCAGCGAGAGAGCAGGTGCAGTCCCTTGGCGCCGAGTTCATCGAAGTTGAGATCGAAGAAGATGGGTCCGGAACGGGCGGCTATGCGAAAGAAATGTCTCCCGAATTCATTGCTGCCGAGATGAAGCTGTTCATCGAGCAAGCCAAGGACGTTGACATAATCATCACCACAGCTTTGATCCCAGGCAAGCCTGCCCCTAAGCTGATAACCAAGGACATGCTTGATGTCATGAAGCCCGGCTCTGTGGTAGTGGACCTGGCTGCTGAAGCAGGCGGCAACTGTGAGAAGACCGAGGCTGGAAAGCTGGCAACTTATAATGGCGTGAAGATCATTGGTGAGTTCGACTCTATGTGTGAAGTACATCAACGCTGACCAATCGAAAGGTTATACGGATCTGCCTTCTAGGCTGCCAACACAATCTTCCACATTGTACTCTAACAATATCGTCAAGTTCCTCCTGGCTATGGCACCGCAAGAGAAATACTTCGGCGTTGACCTGAGCGATGAAGTTGTAAGAGGTGCTATCGTAACCCTGAAGGGCGAGATACTACCTCCGGCGCCGCGACCAGCACCACCTCCACCAACACCAAAGCCAGTAGCCAAGCCAGAGGAAGAGAAAGTGGCCCTCACTCCATTTCAGAAGACATCCCGAGAAGTTGCAACAGTAACGGCCGGTATGGGCACTGCGCTGGCACTTGGAAAGATGACAGGTCCTCTTTTCATGGGCAACATGTTCACTTTTGGTCTTGCCTCTCTGATCGGCTATCGCGTGGTATGGGGTGTCTCGCCTGCTCTTCACTCTCCATTGATGAGTGTCACCAATGCCATTTCTGGTAGGCGGCAATCGCCCTTCTTGAAAGACGACGGATGTTAATATTCGATAGGAATGGTCGGCATTGGTGGCTTTTTCGTGATGGGAGGTGGGTACTTGCCGGAAACATTACCACAAGCCCTTGGCGCCGCCTCTGTACTCCTCGCCTTTGTCAACGTCTCTGGCGGATTCGTCATCACCAAGAGAATGCTTGACATGTTCAAGCGTAAGTACCTTTGCGTATAAAGCTATATGAAGCAACTAACAAGTGCCAGGGCCAACCGATCCACCCGAGTACCCCTGGTTGTATGCGGTTCCCGCTGTCTTATTTGGCGGTGGATATCTTGCTGCCGCTGCGACTGGCGCTGCTGGGCTCGTGCAGGCTGGCTACATGGTCAGCTCCATCCTCTGCATCAGCTCACTTTCGGGACTAGCTTCCCAGGGTACAGCCCGTATGGGCAATCTACTGGGGATATTGGGTGTCGGCTCTGGTGTACTGGCCTCGCTCGTAGCTGCCGGGTTCAGTCCTGAAGTTCTGACCCAGTGGGGTACTCTCGCAACGATCGGCAGCATACTTGGTTTCGTCATTGGGAAACGAATCACGCCTACGGATCTGCCCCAGACAGTAGCCGCGCTACACTCAGTTGTTGGACTCGCCGCTGTCTTGACGAGTATCGGCAGTGTCATGGGCGACCTCTCCCATGTCTCAACGTTGCATCTGGTCACAGCCTACCTTGGAGTGTTGATCGGTGGCATCACCTTTACTGGCAGCATCGTTGCATTCATGAAGCTGGCTGGCAAGATGTCGTCGAAGCCTCTCATGCTACCCGGCAGACACCTGATCAACTCTGGCATGCTTGCTACTAACGTCGCCACCATGGGCGCGTTCGTCACAATGGCACCCGGATCACCGATGATTGCTGCTTGTGCGCTAGGCGCGAACACGATCCTCTCCTTCGCGAAAGGGTTCACCACGACTTCTGCCATTGGGGGTGCCGATATGCCCGTCGTGATTACAGTCCTAAACGCATACAGGTTTGTAGCCCTTTCTGCTGCACAGAAAGTGCAAATGCGGCGACATTGTTACTGACGTTATTGTTCCAATAGTGGCTTCGCCCTTGTTGCTGAGGGCTTCATGCTGGAGAACCCGTTACTGACAACAGTCGGAGCCCTCATTGGGGTATCGGGTTCCATCCTCTCATACATCATGTGCGTCGCAATGAACCGTTCTCTCACAAACGTCTTATTTGGGGGTATATCTGCGCCCGCGACGACCGAATACAAAATGGAAGGCTCGGTAACGCAGACCAACGTCGAAGACACAGCAGAATCGCTCACCAACGCCGAGAGCGTGATCATAGTAGTAGGCTATGGCATGGCAGTTGCGAAAGCGCAGTACGCCGTCAGCGAGATCACCGCCACGCTGCGCGCCAAGGGGATCAAGGTGCGATTCGCCATTCATCCCGTCGCGGGCCGCATGCCGGGTCAGTGCAACGTCCTACTGGCCGAGGCGAATGTTCCGTACGACATCGTCCTGGAAATGGACGAGATCAACGACGACTTTGGCGACACGGACGTCACACTGGTCATCGGTGCGAATGATACGGTGAACCCGATTGCGCTGGAGCCTGGCAGTCCGATCGCGGGGATGCCCGTCTTGCAGGCTTGGAAGAGCAAGCAGGTCGTTGTCATGAAGAGAGGCATGGCTTCTGGCTATGGTCAGTGGCCCTTTCCAGTAACCCTTTTACTTCATTCTGGGCTGGAGCTAACGTGTCTGTAGCTGATGTCCCTAACCCCATGTTCTATATGCCTGGCACGAAGATGCTGTTTGGAGATGCGAAGGTTTCTTGTGATGGTAAGTTCACATCTCCGCTTCCTCTTCATCCTGTTGGTCGAGGTCGAAGGCGAAGCTAACACCTCGTGTCAGCTATCAAAGCTGCGGTCGAGTCCAGGACCTAGAGCTCTAGAACAGAAGCGCATTCGCATCTCGTTCTACAACGTAGACGATTCGATCTATTTTCATGGTCTAGCTTTCCTCGTGGTGGATACTTTGTTAGGGCAGGATGCCTGGCATTCGACCATTTGATATGCCCGAATCTGTGTTGGTGATGCTTGGTTCGTGGATGGTCTAGTTAAATGAATGAATTAAGATGGCTGTCAAGGAACTCGTCTAGACTTGCCTCCATGACTGTGTTCAGGTTTATCTGATGCCAGGCAAGCAAGTTCAAGATCGGATGGTCTTCGTCTCCCACCACTCCAAGTGGATCGTGATCGCCGCAGGGATGTCCCCAGATCTACGGGTCGCCTGGACCCTGAGCGCATGCAGCATGACCGCATAGCGTGGTCATCGATCTCTTAGGCACATTTTAGATCCATCGTTTATGCAAGATTTCTGGGTAGCGATCATGCAGAGCGGTGTCGCGTGGGTGCAAAGGCTGGGTGACACTGTCTCTATGCATGTCAGATTGGGCACTCACTGCCGGCTGGGAGCGGGCGGGAGAGGGGAAGCGGAAGAGGGGAGTAATGGGAGTGATCGGTCAGATTCCAGCTTGACAGCGGTGTAGAAGCATCGCTTTTGATGGTATTGGAATACGGCGGTGCAATTACTGGGCATAATTTTGGGCTTCTGTGTAGAAGACATGACTCGGGGTCTTTTGGCGGTGATCATGTAGGACATCGTGAACTCGAGTGCGGCAAACACAGAACACGGCCACATAGAAAGCATCGCAATTGCGGAAAAGTATAGATTGAATTTATAATGCGCGTCTATTATGATATTGTATCGGATTCCCAGTCCGAGCTGATACGAGGCCCTATTGATACGGCCGTTCCATACCATACCACACCCCATGATATCCATCCCTGTAATCATGTCCGAAACCCTGAACGCCCACCCTTGACCCGTGAACTCGTATATATCATGACTAGCAGTTCATCCAAACGACCAACCAAGTTGGGCGTCGAAATCTACTTCCCCAGACCAGGGATGCCGGGAAGGCTCGAGGGAAGGTAGCCGCCGCTATTGTCCTTGCCCTGACCAGCAACGTCCTTGCCCTGACCAGCAACGTCCTTGCCCTGACCAGCAACGTCCTTGCTCTGACCAGGAAGACCAGGAAGGCCGGGAAGGCTTCCAGTAAGGCCTGAGGGAAGGTAGCCGCCGCTGTCGTCCTTGCCCTGGCGCTCGACGCGGTTCATGCCCTCCTTCGACAGGAGGTCGCCGGCCGGCTGCAGCAGACCGCCTTGGCCGACCTGGCCGGCGACCAGGTTGTTGACGCCGTCCTGGAGGTTGTCGACCTGTGCGATGCCAGTGATCTTCGTCTGGTCGAGTTGTTCTGAACAGTACCAGATACGCATCAGCATGGTACAACTAGAGGGTTCGATTACGGGGGTTGACTTACGCTTGGTGGCATAGCTGGCCTTGTTGTCCTTGGTGAAGTACTTGAGGAAGTAGTCCTCGATCCACGGCATCCAGGCCTCGTACTGCTCGCCGTACTTCTCCTTGGCCCACTCCATGTAGCTCTGCTTGGCCTCCTCCTGGGTCTTGCCTTCCAGGTTGGGGCCGGCCTGGCCGCCGGTTGAGGGCATCTTCGCCTTCGCCCACTCGTAGTAGCTCTGCTGCGCCTGCTCCTGGTTCTGGCCTGCCTGTTCGGTTGACATGTTGGAGATCGGGTGGTTTGTATACGGGGTGCTCGAGTGATATGTTGGGTATCTTGGGGTGTAGTTCTGGATGTTGATGGGATCAGATGTTGGATATGCAATATTTCAATATGAATGGAGAAGTTAGGTTTCGAACATACAGAAATCCTCGTCTACTTATTATTCCAGCTTACAGCCATGGGCCATGGAGCTGCAGCAGGTTTCGCAACCCTCCGTCTCCCGCTATGCTAGCCAGCCCTGGAGGTGTGTGGCTGCTGCTGCTACGTCATCTGGTGGCTGGGCGACGCCCGCTGATACGCCGGCGGCCCTGAAACAGGCACCAAACAAGGCACCAAACAAGGCACCAAACAAGGCACCAAACAAGGCACGGGAAATGTGCCGTTCAGCGCGCAAGCCACACTAATAACAACGGCTTCCAGTGGACCTGCCTTCTGCCCTGCCTAGACTGCCTGTCTGCCCTGCCCGCCGCCTACTGTACCTGCTTCATGCCCGGGTATTGCGCGCGTTGTGTCATCAACAGGTATGACGGAATCGTCAGGTGACGGAACGATCCAACGATGACTTGGGATGATCGACAGGCTGCAATCTTCTGGAAGACTTGCTGGGCAGCTGCCGGGTTTCAAGTTGACATCGTGGCATGCTTTCTTGTGGTTTGTTATGCAGATAACTAACTTAGATGAGATGGATGCGCGATTCATGTGTCCGGACATCTGACTTTCGACGTCACATGTCGCTAGCAGGTTGTTTACCTTATCAGTATCCATGTTGCGGCTGACCAGAGGGCAAACTGTCTCAATAGAAAAAATTGCTACTAGATCTACACTCTTCCCCATACAAACTCGTTCACGTGTATAATTGTAATATTTACTTTGCGATTATTTTACATTTATACGCTTACTATTTATACATACGTACTTTTTTATTGTTTCCTAAGCTTATTGATATTAATCGAATTCAATTGTTATATTTAAAAACAAGCATAATAAATAATATTTAAAATCTTGCGCGCTTTGTGAAAAAGCAAAGTTTATATTTTAGTTTTTACTCATTTTTTGTTACATTTGTTAGTTTATTACTTACCGCGCAATAACGTAACATATATATGAGCATTATTACTTACCAATGTATTTTTCATTATATTTATTACCGTTAATATTAATAAATTTGATATTATTACTAACCAATTATTATTCAAGCTACTTCATTTTATGCGGAAATTAACTTTTCTAATATGTTTTTTTACTAGTTAACTCCGTATATTTTGAATTATTATTGGTGTTAATTTTCAATAAAGTTAAACGATAATAATTATTAATATTAACTATAACTAATCTACTTTTATTAGCCTTTTTATCAAAAACCTTACAATAATTAATATTCAATATAAATGATACCTAGTTAATAAACTAGTTTATAAACATATCTTAATACTTAGCTAATATAATAAGCCATTCTTAATAAATAGTTTCAATTTATTTTTCAATATAATAATTAACTTATAATTGAACAACTTTTCAGTATCGAAACTAAATATTTTAAATAATATAACAGATAACTTAAAGCCTAATTATTTCATAATAGTGACATTCAAATACCTAAAGCTTATAATATTTGAATTATAATGAACCCATCTTACAACAATTATACTTATAAACTTAAACAATATTAAAGCTAATACATACCTAACTTGATTAATAATAATTAAATATAACGTTATAAAATATATAATAGCTAACTTATAACCCCTTTTATATCTTTTTAATAATAATTGATTACAATTTATAACCTATATTAACTACTATATGTTATATCTTGCCGTTTCTATTACCTTATCGAAAAAAAACTTAAAAATTTGATATAAAATAATACTTTCTTTGAAGATCCCGCAAATACCGTTAAAAGCTATAAAAATATCTTAAAGTGTTGGATCCATGTGGTTCCACAGTCAAACCATCCATACAGAACCCATATGTATGATTAGATAAGAGATTAGATACCGGATTGTGAGGTCACATAGCCAGACCTGCAGGTCCAGCTAGACTTCCCAATCCAACCACCAGCAACATCATAACCTTGACCCCATACTCAAGTATTATGATTGATCGTTCAAGCCTGTTCCAACATAAAGCTTATTAATTTTATTATTAATAACCTTAAATAATACTAAAAACCCTATATCAATAAATGATTACGTAAAAATTAAATAAATTAACATTCATTAAGCTTAAATAACGCTTTATTTTAAGTACTTAAAAGAGTTCTTATTACTAACTATTTTTTTAATTCTTTAAACTTGAAGTTGTTGAGAAAAATTCTTCTTTTATTTATAAATTAAAAGCTTATTAAACCGAAATATTAAAAAGCTGTCGTTTATCATAACTTAATAGCTGATTTGCAAATAGTTAAATATTAATATTATATTTGGATTGATAATAATGGCCCAAAAGCAAAATATATATTTAAGGAGAAAGATGTTTTTCAATACTTACTTTAATTGTTATTATCTTAATATCGACAAGGTTTATTCATTACGGCAAGCAAGGTTTATTTAATATTAACAAGCCTGGTGTTGGAACAGGCTTGAACGATCAATCATAATACTCGAGTATAGGGTCAAGGTCATGATGTTGCTGATGGTTGGATTGAGAAGAATCTAGCTAGACTCGAAGGTCTGGCCAAGTGCCCTCTCAATCCACTATCTTATCTTATCTAATCATACATGTGGGTCCTGGTATAGATGGTTTGCAGTCTGGAATCGCATGGATCCAACACAGGATACTCTTTCTTTCATGGTTGCGATTCCATCAAACCGTCTTTCCAGGTGATCTCAACGCTGAACCCAGCCTTCAACTCGAACTGTTGTCTTGTTATTAGAAACAAGACTATGAAGAGCTTTATTTGGAGACGATTTGGTCATCGAGTTAGCAGGGTTATCTTCACCATGGATCCATCGGATTTCTGTGATCTCATGATTCTCGTATGACTGCCGGAGCGCCATGACGTCGATTATCAGGCGCTTCTTATTGGTAGTGCTGAGCTTGACAAGGCACTGGTATAGCGAGTATGAGTCCGTGCAAAAGATCAGGGGGATCGTAGGTACTTCGAGGCGTTGGCAGATAGTTGCCACTGTACGGTGGATCACGTATCCGTAGTCATAGCCAGGAACCATGCCATAGATTTCAGAAGCTAGAACGCTCCGTGTGACTCTCTTGCATTTGGTAGAGGACCAATGAATAATGTTTCCGGTCAGATCAAATGTGAATGTCTCACCATTGCCAGATGATTCACTCCCGAGGATAATAACAAATCCGATCTGTGATGATAGGTCCTTGTTATTGACGAATAATCCATCAATGAACACAAAGAGTTTAATAGTAGACAGATCAGTCGTCATGAATCGAAGTCCACGTGACTTGTTGTCTAGTTGCCACTGAATGCGTTTGTTTAGCATCTCGACGTCCTTGTCAGAGGGTTCTTGGGCTTGGGCTGCGATAGAATAGTCGAATGCGGCTTCTGGTTGACAGATGGAGGCAATGTAGGCGCCTCTTGCTCGTTGCTTAATGAATCTCTGCTTGTAGTCCTTGTCACTCATGTCAATCAAGACGAGCTTGTCAGCTTGTCCCTTTTGAGTCGCTGTCATGCTCTTAGTCTGAAATTCTAGGCGGTATCCGTTAAAGTCGCCAGAAGAACCAGTATCAAACTGGGTTCGTGGCTTCGTCTTGTAGCCCGCTTTCCTCGTTTCGTCTTCTTCCTTCTCTAAGAAGCTGGTAGTACCAATGACAAAGGTGTCGTCAGTTTGAAAGGCTGCGATAGCAAAGTCGTTGCCTTTCTTCGTAATAAATAAACAAGGGTCGTATACGGATGTCTCCATTTCTAGTCTTTCCTTGTGATGGGCAGAATATGTGTTATACCAATGATTCCCAGCTTCTGCGATTCCGTATAGGGGTTTGTCGACGCGAAGAATCGTACCCTCTGGATACTTCTTCTTTAGTTCAATGGGTAGCTTGCATAGGACAAGACGATTCATTGGGTGTCGTGATTGTGTATAAGCCATAGTGATGTCTCGAGAGGCGGCGAGGCAACCCAGCCGTCGTAGAGACGGTGTCAAAGCCATGGCCAGTCGTTGGCTACATCGCATGATCGTCGGCGCTTGGGTCATGATACTGTGCTTCTCATGATCGTTATATCCTTGAACCACGAGTCTGCTCTTCTCGTAAGGGCGGTCATTGATGCCTTTGACAGTGCGGACGAGACAAGAGTTAAACAGTCGGGTATCACTGTGAATCTTGCTGTCAAACAGAATGGGGACAAGCACTTCATCGGCAAATAGAGACTCAATCTCAACGAGATCGGATTGCTCGAAGGGTGCTCCGGGGGCTGTGATCTTGCCTTCAGTGCGCAGTTTCAGGGCGAGAGCGTGATCAGCACGCTCCTTGTGCGAGAGGAAAATGCCATATTCATCTTGCTGGACAAAAGAGCCAGCGAAGTTCTCCTCTTCGCTTGTAGTCGTAGTGGCTATGTGTACCACGTATATTTTTCTGGGTCGGCCTCGCGGTCGCTTCGTGCTTTGGATGGGTGTAGGGAGCTTCAGAGGGCGGCCGCGACGACGGGGGAGTGTCGGTTCTGGATATTCGAACGGAACGGGGGCATCGTAGTCATTAAGCTTCTCAGTATCGAGGGTCGTGTCAGGGTAACAGTTGTACGGCTTGACGTGCGTGCGGCTGAATAGGGTTGGTCCGTTGACCATCTCAATGGTCACTTTTCGGTCTGTCACTGATAGAACCTTGTACGGGCCTTGATATTTGTCTTTTTCGCGATAGACAAGGACTTCACTGCCGATGGGAAGAGAGAGAGGCAGTGTTGGGGTTGTATCAGGGCCGTTCCTTGTGTTCAGAGCATTTTGAACGTTTTGCTTGGCTCGGAGCTTACGTAGTTCGGCCATTGCTTTGGCCTGGGCCTGTGCACGTTGAAGCTGTGATAGTGTTGGTGGCGAATCCATC